CGACAGAACATGGGAATGGATGAGATGAGGGCACAGGAGTGGAACAAAGGGAAAGGGCCAGTGGGATACATAGAATGAAAATACAGCAACAATGCATTCTGGGGAAAGCTTTGTTTCCTCGCCGTGACTAGGGAGGTTGTTGCTTAAGGGTTGTCCCTCCAGGGGTGTGTGGGAAGCTTCTTCTTAGCCGGTTTACTGGCCTCCACATATCTCCCTCCTCTGCTCCACTACAGCAGAACAACGAGTCAGTAGTTTTCTTCATGGGTCTCTGGTTTTTGGCCACTGTCAAACCATGGTAGGGAGTTCCAAGGAAGACAGCGTTTTGGGGTGAAGTGCCAGTGAGACATCGGGGTTTCAGGGTATGGAGAGCTCTGCAGTGACACCCCAGATTGGGGGTAGTATCAGGGAAACACAGGGTTTGGGAAGATGACTGCAGTGAGACCCAAAGTTTCTGGTTTGGGAGGACTGCAGAGAGAACCAGGATTTTGTGGCAGGAGGCTTGCAATGAGACCTGGGATTGGAAGGGCGGTGGGTGCAGGAAGGACCAGTGGGGTGAATGTGGGACAGTGTGCGACATAGAACACTGAACTTGCTAGAGGGGTCAGAGTGTCCCTGGGAGCTTCTCCTCTTCCTAGGCTGGGGTCGAGCGAGGCCGTGGTGACCTGTCCCTGCACACAGTAAACTCTGGGGCTCTACACCCAAATGAACGGACTGCAGAGGGGTCTGTGTTTCCCAGAAGCAGAGCCAGACCAGGAACTGCCCCCATGGACCTCAGCACCGCCGTTCTCCTGCCCCGTGGCTTCTCCATACAGTCATATCCATGGGACCCACATTCTTCCTGTCTCCTCATGCCAAACCAGATCATGTTCCTGGCTGTTTTAGCCTTGGGAAAGTGGCTGATCCAGCACAAATCTCAGTACTGGGTCATGTATTCCAGCCTTGATTTAGGCATTGAGGCTTGATGTGCTCTGCCCTTTGCAACTTCCAAAGCTGGGTTACTTTGGGCTGGAAGGGACCTTAAAGCTCAGCCAGTGCCATCCCCAGCCATAGGCAGGGACACATTCCACTATCCCAGGTTGCTCCAAACCCAGTCCAACCTGGTCTGAACACTTCCAGGGTTCCAGGGGCAGCCACAGCTCCTCTGGGCACCCTGTGCCAGTCCCTGGCTGTGCCTCAGCCTCTAAGCTGTGCTGCTGTGCCTGGCAGGAGCTCTCTGGCCACACACCATCGATTTAGAGTAGAGACAGTGGATTTGAGGGAAAGGATGGGGGGGAGGCAGCCTGTCCCCAACAGGGAAGGAGCCTGTCCTTGGAGAGGAGCTGGTGTCCCTGGAGCTGACAGAGCAGGAGCAGAGGAGCTTCATGCAGGATGATCCCCAGCCCTCTCCAGCCCTGGCTGGGTCACTGCTGCCATGGAGTCAGGAGTGCAGATGGTTGCAGTTTGCAGTGTGCACGTTCCTGCTGGCTGGGGTGAGGCAGGAGTGTGCTCCTGCTGTGCCAGGCTGGCAGGGACAGAGAGGGAATGGTTCTCTGGCTGCTCCTGAAGAGACACCGAGGAGCTCCTGAGCCTGAGGAAGCCGTGCAGCTCACGGTGCATTGCTGGCAGAAAGGAGGTCATGGTTTAATGGTGCCAGAGAAGACTTCCTGGGGGTGTGCTGTGCCAGGAGCTGGGCATGAACACAAATGTGCAAGAGGCCAATGGCCCCTCGGCTCTGCCAGCTCTGGGGTGGCAGCAGGGCCAGGGCAGTGCCCGTCCACTGTGCTGGCACTGCTGGGGCACCTCCAGTGCTGGGGGTAACTCTGGGCCCCTCCTGACAGGAGAGACCTGGAGGGGCTGGAGCGTGTCCAGGGAAGGGAACGGAGCTGGGAAGGGAATGGAGCCCCAGGAGAGGCTGAGGGAGCTGGGAAGGGAATGGAGCCCCAGGAGAGTCTGAGGGAGCTGGGAAGGGGCTCAGCCTGGAGAAAAGGAGGCTCAGGGTGGACCTTGTGGCTCTGCACAAGTCCCTGACAGGAGGGGACAGCCATGGGGGGTCGAGCTCTGCTCCCAGGGAACAGGGACAGGCCAAGGAGAAATGGCCTCAGACTCTCCCAGGGTAGATTCAGGGTGGACATCAGGAGGAATTTCTGCATGGAAAGGGTGCTCAGGCCTTGGCAGACGCTGCCCAGGGACATGGTGGAATCTCATATCCAGAGGTATCCAAGGAATGCCTAGTCATGGCACTCAGTGCTCCGGGCGAGGGACAAGGTGGGGATCAGTCACAGACTAGAAGCGAGGGTCTGGGAGGTCTTTTCCAATCTCAGTGATCCTGGGGTTCTCTGCCTGTAACACTCCTGCAGCAGGGAATTCTTTGGCTGGAGGAAATATCCCTCTGGAGACAGGCTCAGCTAAGCTGGGGACAGAGGGACCAAACCCATGCTCTGTAGGTGATGTGTCCCAGCCCTGCCTGGCAGCTGCTGAGGCTACCCCTGAAGCCGGACAAATGCCAGCTGTGTCTGCTCCAGCACTTGTGACTTGTCAGCCTGCCCCAGGTGATGGCTGGCCCTGGCAAACGAGAGATCTCAGTATCCAAACTCTAGTGCTTGTTTTGAGGTCATGGAGCAGAATTTGTGTGTCCACATGCCCAGGAAAAAGCAATCCAGGCACCCTACGTTGGTTGGGTGCTGAATGTCCTCTGCCAAACCCCAGCACTCTGTTACTGTCAGGTGTGGGGTGTGCCCTGCCAAGAAAGCTGCAGCCAAGCCCTGTTCCTGCTTTGCTTCCTCTTTTCGAGAGGTGTCCAAGGAAGGCTGGGTTGGACAGTGCCTGGAGCAAGGTGGGACAGTGGAAGGTGTCCCTGTTTTGGAATGGCGCAGCCCCTGCTTCTCTGGGAATAACATCCCACCCCTTACAATGCTCCCAGGGAAGAATTCCTTCCAAAGATCTCATCTATCCCTGCCCTTTGGCATGGGAAGCTATCCCCTTTTTTCCTGCCCCTCCAGGCCTTTCTCCAAAGTCCCTCTCTTGCCTTATTTACATGTATGCCTATCCAACTATATCCAACGATCACAGTTTACAATATTGCTACCAGCAATAAGCTGGGTAGTTAAGAGTCAGACATGTGCATCAGACAAGAGTTGACTGTGATCCAACTGAATTACAGCTGGTATGGAATTCTGACTGCAATTCAATCATCTGATTCCGAACAAGTGATTCTATTTACACATTCTGCTGCAATAAAATGCCTGATTTCCTGGAATTACCCCGCTGGTTCTGAATAGGTGAAGCCGCACCCACCGGAGAGTCAGGGCTGGATAAAAAGGGAGCTGGGATGGGCTTCTCCCAGCCTGGGAGCTGTGGGGCCCGGAGGGAGACGGTAGGGGATGGAGATGGGGATGGGGATGGGCATGGGCATAGGCATGGGCATGGGCATGTGCGTGGGGATCGGCATTGGGATGAGCTGCGGGGCTGGGAGCCAGGAGCAGCCGGGAGCGGGTTCATGTTGTTCTCTTGCCTCCTATTTCCTGTGCTTTGCCAGGGAAGATGGCAGGGCAGGAGAAGAGGGGGCTGAGCGCAGCGGGTGGGCGCTGTGTACTCCAAGCATGGGCTGCAGGGAGCCGCCTTAGCTGGAACCACTTTGGGGAGCTCGGGGGAGCCGTGTGCGCTATGGGCTGAGCTGGGATGGGGATGGGCTCAGAGCAGTGGGAGCAGATGCCTGTGCTCCCCTAAAGGCAGGAGCAATGCGACTGATGCTTGGAGTGCCTCCTTGCCCTGCCCGGCTCCTTCGGGAGCAGGGCAGCTCCATCACCATGACGAGCAGGCATGGGACATCATGCTCAGTCCGCAAACCCAGGGCATCCTGTTTCCTCCCCGTGCAGGGAGGGTGGGATTCTCCTCTCTTACAGTCTAAACGGCACCGCCCAGAGCGCTCTGGTCTCTGGGACAGCCCCACAGAGGCAGCAGTGTTCCCAGAGCCCCTTTCCCTGGGCCAGGGCTGAGGAAAACACTTGGGAGGATGTTCCCATGAAACGGGGTGCAGGCATTCCCATGGCAGGTCCTGCTGCCAGCCTTGCTGCTTCCCTCCTTTGCTTCCCAGGAGGAACTGGATCCCTAGTTATGCCCTGAATGTGCTTAGTGCCTCTCCACGGTCACTGACACAACCGCATGGGGCTTCTTCCCTATTCCTGCAGCACTGGGAAGCTGTGCAGAGAGTGCCAAGTGTGCCTGGGGGCAGGGTGTGTCTCGGCTGGAGTTAATGTTCTCCAGGGCAGGGCCCAGCTCCTTCTTCTCCACACCCTGCTGTCTGCCCCAGGCCTGCCCCTGCTGCTGTGCTGTGTCCCCTGAGCTGGGGCCCTCGGCTGCCGGTGTCTGCTGGGAAGCCAAGGCTGGGAGCAACGGGAGCATCTGCTGTGAGGTGGGTAAGGGAAATCAGAGCCCACAGCCCTTGCTCACATTGCCCAGATTTGCAGGGATTCCAGAGGGAAAGCTGCCCCTGAAGGCTCTGGAAGCATGCAGGAGCCCTTGGATCTATACCTGAGTCCAATCCCCTTGGATCAATACCAGTGCTGGTGAGAGTGCTGTGGCCTTGGTAGAACAGAAGCTGAATGCTTAGAAAGATTTTTTGCAAGGAATAAATCTCCCCAGTATCCAGCTGAACTGAGACTGGGGCAGTTTTTGGGGTTGTGTGACAGTGTCAAAACTCCCAAAGAATTAAAGGCAAGTGGGCAGTGAAAGTACCAGGTCTGTTAGGATGAGAATCACAGAATGATGGAATGGCCTGAGTTGAAAGGGACATACCGTGGTGCTAGGAGAGGCAGGATCAAAAGCTTTCCTGAAATCCCAAACGCTCAGATTACCTGGCTGTCCTTGATCAACTCCATGTTTTAATATGTTGTAAAAGGAAATTTAGGGTGACAAGCAGAACATTTTCTCTTGAGTCTGTAGTGGCTGTGACCCATAACTGCCTTGTGCTTCAGGGGTTTTCAACAAAATTGACCAGCAGTGATGGATCTGTACTGGTTTAAAAGACAGGTGTCCTGGAACCTTCCTGGAATGGAAAATATGACCCCTTTCTTTCATATTATTACAACTTTGAAATCATGGGGCTTTTAGGCAAAGATACAGGGAAAGGAATAACAGGTATTTACTAGAGTATATATGTGAAAAACACATTTAGTCTCCTGTCAAAATTTTAAAAGTTTAATAAAGGACAATAGGAGACAAAGACAGTAAAGCAAAGAGTACAGCCAAATGTGTCTTGGCACTCAGCCAACAGCACACCATCACCTTCGGGGGTACCACTTAAATACCCCTTTTCTGTTACATCAGCCTGTTGCATGTTCATAGATTCTTATGCATATCCATAAACTAGTTTACATTTTCCAGGAACTATTTTACATGGCCCCTCCTTGGATCTGCCTTTTTAGAGCATGCTTGTTTCTTGGCTGTAGTTTTGGCTCCTTCTCTTTATCACTTCAAGTTCAGGCCCTGGTCCACACTGCCTTCAGATGGTAGATGCTTATAGTTGGCGTGTCTCTAGCAGGTGTCCTTTTCCTATGTTCATTGGATGTTATCCCATCCAAGCAGTCATTTTAACACAAGCATAGGTATTTCCCTACTATGTCTAAGCTTAATTAACAACAGAAATAAAAACTATATCTTTATAACAAAGTTACTTTAATATCACGCATCTAAAATCCATTTTAATATTTGCAAAAAGCCAATATTTAAATATGTATCTATAACATATGTATGTGCCAAGATATACAAACAACAACAGCAGCAGCAACAACCAAAACCAGAAACCCAATCCCAGCCTTTCAGGCACTGCCCCCGCGGTGCAGTTCCAGGCATAGCCAGCAGGGGCGCTGCTGGCTCCTGGCCAGGCAGGACGGGTGCGATGATACCACTGTGGCTGCAGGGGGCGCTGTGGTGCAAGCTTGGCACCTCTCCGCTGGCAATGGCAGCTCTGGCGACAGGGGACAAGGGAGTTGGCTTCCCCTGGACAGCCCACAGGGAGCAGCTGCTCTCAGTGGCACTGCAAACCTGGGGTGGTGAATCAAAGTGTAGCAAAAAAACCCAAAACAGTGGGGGCCAGGTGGGGATCGCTCCTTTGCACAGCTCACCGGTGATGGCTGGGCCTGAGGTCAGGCCTGGTGGGGCTGGCAGTGCTCCCAGGTCTCTGCACAGCACACAGTGGCTCTGGGCTCCCAAGCAGCAGAGGAGCAGAGAAGCAAGCTGCTGTGAGAAACAAGGTTCACTCTTTAAAAGTTTTAGAAGTTTTTAATAAGGGATAAAAGGGACAGTATCCAGAGCTGAGGAGCTTGGCAAACTGCCAAAAGCCCACCGTTAGCTTAAAACAATTATTTTATATCCTTTACATTACATTGGATAAATGCATATTTCTGTTTGTATATTGTCAAACATTCCTGTGAGCTCAGGGAATGCTTTGGCTTGGCTTGACCTTTGATGCGTCTTCATTCTATTCTGTGGGTGAAACTCATATCTTTTATTTCTTCTTGAGGCTCTGTTCAATTCTTTAACATTTTCAGAAAACCTCTAAGGGTCAGTTCTTGCATTTTTGCTCTGTTGTTTATTCTCCTGGGTCTCATCACTGTTGTTATTCAGATAAGGTAGTCCACAAGTGCATTGTATCAACATAGCTATTCACACCACTATCTGAGATAGTTACACAAAGGAAAGCATTTAACATTACCTAGTCTCTATTTTAATACTTTGCAAAGCCTTAAGATATAATAGGTATATATTTATTTATTTATTTATTTATTTATCACACTACTATTTATATAAGCTATTCTGTGCATACAGAAGCTGCCAGATTATATAATATTAAATCAGTTAAAAGGGGTTACAAATACTACTATATTAAAATTGTTGTGATCAATAATAACTTGGAAAGGCAATGCATAAATGTGAAAACCAATAACCATATTGTCATTTATAACACTGGCAAGTCCTGGTCACAGTGCTGAAGCAAGAAAAAACATGAGGGGGAAAAAAAGAAAAACGTCATTAGGGCAACTGCATCTCAGGTCAGACCCACTGAGCTGCATGGCCCCTGTGTTGATCACCCCTGCTGGAAGGAAAAGCACCCCCTGGTCCCCCACCCCACACAGAATCCTGGAACCAACCTTCACCCATCGTGATACTCCTGAATCAGAGGGGGAACATTGACAGCTCCAGACACAAACCAAATCCAAAACCAACCTGGCTATGGGATACCAACCAACCCCAAGACAGGACCCCAGGAACTTCCAGAGTCATTTCCCTGGGGCCCTCTGTAACTTGCTGCTGAGCAGCCTGAACTCTGCTCCCCTCAAGGGCAGGGTTGAAGGTTTGCTGGCACTTTTCCTCCTGTCATCAGAGATTTTAGGCTCATTGGTTCTGTGGTGTCTGTGGCTGAGATGGCCACCAATGGGCACCTGCCTGATGAGAAAATCTGTGCTAATGAGCAGCAGATCAGAGAGGGCACCTCTCTGAGATGGGTCCCACCATTTCCAGTATCTCCTGAAGGGCCACCAGCATGTCCCAGGCACAGCTGTGGGCAGGGACAAGGTGGATTTTCCCCTGCACTGGGGTGGGCCCCTGAGGGTGCCAGGAAGCAGCTCCTGGGAAGAGGCCAGAGAGGGGTGAGGGAGGGGCTGCACAGGCAGCTGGAGCAGGAGCACAGCTCAGGGCCCATGGGGGGCGTGGGGGGAGTGTGTCTGGGGAGTGTGGGGTGCCATGGGGGGAGTGTGTGAGCGCTGCCT